ATTCTTTGTTTTCAACTTATTCTCTTCATATAACTGTGATAAGGCACAATTTGAATTATAGATTATAAACACAAGGTAATAAGACCAAATCCAAATAAATAAATAGTGTGTGACGTTTCGGTAACAGCATTGTTACCATCTTCAGACCAAAGTACTGAATGAGAAATTTACCAAAGCACGTTTTAAATAGTTACTGTTATCAAGTGTGTAAATAAAAGAGAGAAGATAATATTTACATACTTGATAACAGTAACTATTTAAAACATGCTGTGATATTTTTTTCTCATTCAGCAATTTTGTCTGAAGATGGTAACAACCCTGTTACTGAAATGTCACACACTATTGATTCATTTGGTCTTATTTACCTTGTGTTTTCATTTAAGAGTGAGATAAGTTATTTACATGGACAACTGGTAGCAAGGTACCACCAAGTATATTCAAGGTTAGGTTCAATTAGATTTGTTTAGGTTAGGTTAGGATTCAGCAAACTGCGGCTCTTTGGATGTGAAGCTGCGGCTTTATATATAGTTCCATATGTAAATATTATTTATATGAATACTATTTATTGTTGGCAAGAAAAAAAAATGTTGTCTCTTTAAAAAAAATTTATAAATTGCAATTTTTGTGACTCCTTGAATATGACACATACTGATGGTCCCCTCTGAAATGAGCATTTAACCATTTTAAATTATTCTGAAAACTCTGTCTTTGCCGGTCCCAAGCCCAGATTGAAAAGGAGGAGGGGGAGCAGTAACAAACTCACTAAAAAACCTGGGCTCAGCTGGCCCGGCTGATAGTACCCTGTAAGGGCTCCTAATCCAGGGATTCAGGATGAGCAGCGTTTGTACTCCTTGTTAGGAGCGGCTGCACATGGTGTCTGTTCCTCATGTCAGAGGCGGCCATTTCTTTTGGAGCTAAGTCGGCTTGCTACTGAGTAGTGCTCCCAGTCTTAATGACAAAGGCAGACGCATTTTACTTCACCCAGTGTGGAGATAAGAAAGAAGAAGAGAAGAAGAAATTGTTCTGAAAATAGAGCAATCCATACTTAAATCATTAGATAATATAAAGGCATATATTGGATTGATTGGATATTGGATTGGATATATGCCTTTTTACTATCTAATTTTAAATTGTATAAGACAGTAAGACATTATCTCATTATTACAGATTCTACTGCATATGACTGGAACAGAGCCAGAGGGAAAAACACCAATTCTGTCCTCCCAAGGTCTTTGATTTCCAGACTTAAGTCTGGTCATTTACGGACAATGACTTTCCAGAATGGTTGCAAGGTTTTCCCACTATTTCCAAGTGCAATTCTCAACCTGCAACCCCAAACCACAATATTGACGGTATAGGCTCATCCATTGATGAGTTCTACTCATCTCCAGCAAACACCATCAACAAGCTCTACAGGCTTGATACCTTAATATGATTATTGAGTGGAGATAAGAAAGAAGAAGAAAACAGCTTCTTTTAAAACAATAACTTGGGTATAACATTTAAAGTCCTGTGTTTCAACTTACAATTGTTTTAACTGTGGTTATAACAAATTCCCGGGAATATTGTTTTTGGAGAAAACGGGGCTAGCTCCCTTTTTTACTAATCCTATAACCTAACCTAACCTTAACTAACCTTTGTAAAAATAGAGGCTGCCTGGCCGGCGCATTCATAGTTCTTAAAATTAAAGATACTTCGGCCAGTAAATCTTTTTCATTGTCTCAACATTTCGACAAAAATCTTCGTCAGGAACGAACAATAATTAAAACATTTGGCAAAGCATTAAAAATGATGAGCACAAAAGATTTTTGTCGAAACAATAAAAAAGATTTACTGGCCGAAGTATCTTTAATTTGAAAAACTTAACTAACCTTGTCATAGCTTATAAACACTGTATGCTATAGATTAGGGTTAATAAACAGGGGAACTAAACCAGAGATCTCCCAACGCTTTTATAATGATGTTAACGACTGTACTAAGGTACTCATTAAACAGCTGGTTGATTGAACTAATTAAGTAACCTCTAAGAAGATAAGGAACAATTTGGATTAAAGATTATAAACACAAGGTAATATGACCAAATCCAAATAAATAAATAGTGTGTGACGTTTCGGTAACAGCGTTGTTACCATCTTCAGACAAAAGTACTGAATGTTACCGAAACGTCACACACTATTTGGATTTGGTCTTATTACCTTGTGTTTATAACCTCTAAGATTTTATATCCTTCTTCTTTCTTATCTCCACCCAATCATATTAAATTTTCTAAATATATTTTAAAAGTTGCATATTAGTTTCCATAAGGTTGTTTTTAAAATAAAAATTGACTATTGTAACTACATTATATAAATTAAATATATTTATAATGTTTTCATATCTATATAGGCCTATTTTTGAAGGTCTATTACATTCCAAAAGAACTTTTTTAAATAAAAATGTTAATTGACATTGTATTGATCATACTATTTATATAATTATCTTCATATTTTCATGATTTTTTTATTAGTTTGGCATTTTAAAAGGTCTAAAAATGGTTGACATTTTAAGAAATGCACTTATGCCTAATGTAAACAAAGATGAAATAAATAATTATAATTTTACAATTTTACATACTATTATGTTAGTATTCATGAAAAATGTTATTATTTATGTGAAAGGGTCTCCTAAAACCAAAAATAAAGCCATATATATTTTTGTAAATACTTTTACATTTCACATACATCTTTTGATACAAAAGCTTAATCTGTCATTAAATTTGTTATTGAAATTTCTAATATCATTATGGGTTGCTTTCCGAAAATGGCCATTATGTATATAAATTTTAGATTTGAAAATTAAAAGCAATTTAGTACATGCACTTTGATTATGAAAGGTTGTACTTACCATATGAAAGACTTGAAAAATAGAGCAGAAATACTAAAAATAATCTTTTTGTAATATTCATGATTATATAATATTATAACAATTATTATCACTTTCAAGTTTTCTCAACATCTTCAGAGAATATGTATAATTTATAAAATATAAATTTCATGAAAATAGTTTTGACGTGTTTGGTGTCAAATTGAATGTTTTGTTTACCACATATTTTGCTTTTTAATATATAGTTAAAATATAATTAATTAAGGCTTTTATTATAATGATTGTTGGTTGACAAAGAGATTATGCAAATCGTCAACATTCACTGTTAATAATAATAAGTATATACGCCGTAATATAAACAAATAGAAAATTTTCGAGCATTAATATAATTTTATGGTAGTTTGCTTGCTTTTTTTAGGTTAAAAATAAAATTGAAAAGGCCACTTAAAATCTTGAGCATATATCCATTGGTTACATGCTTCTAAAAAATAACAAACGGGGAAGTTCTTTGCTGATAAGATAAAGAAATGAAAAAATAAGGTTCAAAGTATGAAGTAGTGACAAAGGCTTGACGACACACCAGAGTATACATCAGACGGTGGTGCCAGACAGTTACTGGATGAGCCCATTTTCCGTCTGGGGGGAGACCCGAGGCTATCAATACCTTCCGACGCCCAGCCTCGCCTGCATTAAAATCGACAAAAATCACATATAGTTAAATATTCCGGCTTCTATTATATATCTCTTTTTACATAGAAATTTTATTTAGCTTTATTTAACAAGTACGCCGTGAATGTAAAATTTCAAAGATGGCTTCCTGTTTATCTTGTTTGAATATGGCGAGGCCTTTGTCACTTCCAAATCTTGTCTCCATGCGCTTGGGCAGCTAAACATGGTCGCCTGCGAAAAAGGATGAAATGTAGTATAAATTTATTATTTGAGCATATTATAAAAATAAATAAGACCATTTTTATATTTTAACTATTTTTATTTCATGTTATAAATATACTTATGGGGCGCTTTATTTTCTCATTTTTACATAGTTGTGTGTACACTGAAATTTTTATGCATTGCATAAATATATAAACTCAATAAGTATTCTGAATATTAATTATTATTATAATTTCAAAATTTTATTATATATTTATAAATTTTATTAAATGTTTATATAACACACGACAATAAAAATCGATTTATATGTTGCGGCTATGCTAGTTGAGGCGATGTTTATATAAAAATAGTTTATTCTTTATATGAAATTAATTATAAAACTTTGTGATAATTAAATAAAAGTTGAAATTAGGATTAAAGTGAATTACAATATACTTCACCTCTCGATAGAGGGAGAAAAATGAACGAGGCAATGTCCGGGTTTTCCCCAAGTGCATTTTTACCCGATTTCATAATTTGGAACAATTAATCTAATACTTATTGACGTTTTATCTTAATTAAGTTTTTTTTATTATAAATATATATTTATAAATTAAAAATTGAAACTATTTTTGACTCGTATGTTTCTTTTTTAAAATAAAACTTTTTTTTTTTTTTAAGAACTATACGGGTCAAAAAATATAGTTTCAATTTATTATAACAGATGGCCCGCTAATTCATCATATTAATATATTATTATCATCATATCATTATTTGTTTCAGATGGACATGCAGTGAAGTTGAACCTCCTTGAGAGGACACCTCTGTATAAAGGACAGTTTTAGTCGCTAAAATAACCCTTTTTTTACTAAATAGTAACTCTCTGGTAAGAAGATACCTCTCTATAAAGAACACCGGCCCAGTATCTAGGTGTTGTCCTTTACAGACAGGTTCAACTTTAATAGAGGGTGAATACAACCTTGAAATTAACATTTAAAAGGACCGAAAATAATAAAATGACATAAAATAATAATAAAAACTATTTTTATAGATGAAAAATCACGAATACACCTCCGTTTATTTGAATACCTCGATTTAGTGTAACTCGCTCTAATTAACCACTGGGCTAAGAAATATACTTGCTCTATCTCAACGCTGATTGGCTAATTTAAATCATGTGATTGTAGATATTCAATCAAATGGCCTGGCTTCAGAGAATGACTGATTGATATATGATTAAGACAACTCATTGTCCTCAAAATTTGCCTACGGCCATACCACGTTGAAAACACTGGTTCTCGTCCGATCACCGAAGTTAAGCAATGTCGGGCCCGGTCAGTACTTGGGAGGGTGACCACCTGGGAACACCGGGTGCTGTTGGCTTCTCTTTTTCCCCTGGCCACCCATTCCCAGGCCCCTCCAACTGTACTTTATATATATTCCGCTTTATGCGTCCATCGGGGCTCAAAAATCATTCATTTTGGTTAGCAGCCCCATAAATAAAGATATTTCCATTGTCCTCAAAACTCACTGTTACCAACCAATGAAAATGAGCGGCCGTTTTAACCAGTAGAGTTGTAGAATGTCTGACAATCAGGGTATCCAATTACCAATTACAGGAATCAACATCCCATCGGGGGGAGAAGTCCGACCACACCACCCTGCGGTCCCCCCTGGACCTTTGGAATATTCGACCAAATTCTGGTTCATTTCCAAGGTGACTAACGTGGCAACGGTACCCATTTTCCAATGAATTCCTTTCATTGGTATATCTGAAACCAAAAGCCTGGATATATTCTGGAATGTGGGATGAACCGACAGACAGCAACCTGTATTTCCAGGTTAAAAACTGGCAGCCATACTACTCTTCCAGGATGGTCTTTCTTCTTCTTTCTTATCTCCACTCAATCATATTAGGGTGTCAAGCTTGTAAAGCTTGAGACTTTTGATGGTGTCTGTTGACAACCATCATGATTGGGTGAAGTAGAATGCGTCTGCCTTTGTCATTAAGACTGGGAGCACTACTCAGTAGCAGGCCACCGACTTAGCTCCAAAAGAAATGGCCGCCTCTGACATGAGGGAAAGACGCCATGTACAGCCGCTCCTAACATGGAGTACAAACGCTGCTCATCCTATATCCCTGGATTAGGAGCCCTTACAGGGTACTATCAGCCGGGCCAGCTGAGCCCAGGTTTTTTAGTGAGCTTGTTACTGCTCCCCCTCCTCCTTTTTCATCCAGGCTTTGGACCGGCAAAGGCGGAGTTTCCAGGATGATGTCTTCCCAGAATGTACCATCTGCAGAACCAAAGAGGCCTTACTAGACCATCTCTTGGAATGTATTCTTTATATATTATATCTAGTACACGTGGTACAGGCCATGATAATCATGGTGGGTAGTTAGCAACTGCTTTTACTGTAAGTGCAACACATGTCTACATGTGAAAAGCAGTTCGACTTTTTCACTTACAAAATGTACCAGAGCCCCGTTGGAATGTATGGGAGCCTCAAGACAGGACCTATATTCCTATAGGACCTACTCAAGATTATAAATTTATTCCATGAATTCAGTCTCCATGACCTTGTATAATTATACAATGTGATAACAACAAGAAGCTTTATTAAGTCCTTTTAGTCTTATACAGATTCTTCAAGTAGAAATGTAAGGTACACGTAGGAAAAAAAAAACAGTAATAATATCAATAATAAATATTGTTATCAAATACGATAATAATAATTTTTTAAAAAAGGTTCTTGAAAATAAAGATACTTAGGCCAGTAAATCTTTTTATTACCTCGACGTTTCGACAAAAAGCCTTGAGTATGACCATGATCAGAAAGTGTCTGCTATCGTGGAAAATCAGGTGCCGTTCTGTAAATAAACAAAAAGGCTTTCAAATAGAACATTTAAAATTTTTCAAATATGGTGTTAATTTTTAATATTTTATAATAAAACTGTTTCCCCCCTATAAGTGTGAACACCCTCTGTATATCGGACGCGATATCCCAGCTTGGGATACTTACGCTTAAATACATTTTAGCAACTTATATACGAATTTAGTATGCTCCAGGAATCCGGGTTACCCAAATAACTTTTATACAATTTATATATAATTCAATAACAGGACTAAAAATAAAATTAAAACTTAAAGATTGGTTTTTCTCAAATAGAAAAAAGAAAATCTAAAATGAATTTAGAAAAAGTATTGAATTTTACATAAGTGTCTTTCGTAAAGATAGAGGCTGCCTGGCCGGCATTCATATTTCTTGAAAATAAAGATACTTCGGTCAGTATATCTTTTTATTACCTCGACGTTTTGACAAAAATCTTTTGTCCTCGTCAGGAGCAAACAAAAATTAAAACATTTGGCAAGGCGTTAAAAATCGCTTTTTTTTTTTTTTTTTTTGCTCCTAACGAGGACAAAAGTTTTTTGTCGAAACGTCGAGGTAATAAAAAAGATTTACTGGCCGAAGTATCTTTATTTTCAAGAACTATGAATGCGCCGGCTAGGCAGCCTCTATCTTTACGTTAAAAAAAAAGGGGGGTAGCAAAGATATCTAAATTTTGTCAGAAATTCTAACAATGACGTTAAACCAATACAAATAAACCTGTTGAATACCCCGAAATTTGGTGAAAGAGAACAATGAAGATAAGAAATGTCTTAAACGTCTTATCTCTGGGAAGAATTCCTCCTACCTGAACTAACCTTTCCTGTTGACTAATCTTATCCTATGCTGTATCAAAAAAATGGAAATTCCTGATAAAACTACTCAGCCTTTAGACACTTATCCAGAAATCTCTCAGAATTAAAAAAAAAACAATCTCTTCTTCTTCTTTCTTATCTCCACTCAATCACACTAAGGTATCAAGCTTGTAAAGCTTGAGATTTTTGATGGTGTCTGCCGGGGAAGAGTAGAGCTCATCAATGGATGAGTCAATACAGTCAATAATATGTCTTGGGGTTGCAGGCTGAGAAAAAACCAATAAATTTTACAAGTAACTTATCATTTATACGTTGTTGTTGTTGTTTATTTCTCAAGTCGTTTAAACGATCTCCATTAGGTTCCATTGTCTCATCTTTTCTATTATAATCCTGGGGTTTTCCAAGAGATCTTTTTAGAGGATTTGATATAATTTAAAAGATGTTCAGGACTGGCAGGCATACATACAAAGAGATAAAAAGTAAAAAAAAAAAAGAAATGTATCTTTTTTTTTTTTTGTAAATACAGTTAAACCTGCCTATAGCGCCCCCGCTTGGGACTCGCCAAAATAGAGTGCTATAGAGAGGGGATGCTATAGACAGGTCACTTTTAGTGTAAATCGCATCGTACTACGTATTTAAAATCGGGCGTTGTAGAGAGGGAGGCGCTATTTAGAGGGGGGGCTATAGACAGGTTTAACTGTATATAACATTTTGACTTCATCTTTCAACCGTTATTTTATAAAAGTTTTTTTTTTACGTGTTTCAGCGACCCAGTGTCGACCTTTTCAAAAAAGGTGTAAAACTCTTATTAGTGGTGTCCAAAGGACAATAAACTTTTATAAAAAAAAGATTGATGAAGACTTCAACTTGAATGAATCAAAATCCAACCCTTCCCCCCTTACCTACACAATTATTGGTATTCTCTCCAAGAATATATGTAAATTAGTTATTAGACTAATTTTCACAAAGATTGAAAAGGAAATGGAAAACCTTTGATGTTGCCGGTCGTCTTTTTTTTTTTTTTTTTTTATTGAGAGAGGCAATTTTGTTTACACTTGGTTATCTCGTGTGTCTTCAATAAAGGTCACTGTAATATCTTTCAGAGTTATTGTCTCAATACCGATATACATGCTAAAAGGTACAACTTCCTTAAGTTTTGTCCATGAGTGTATATTGGTTATCTCGTGTGTCTTCACTAAAGGTCACTGTAATATCTTTCAGAATTATTGTCTCAATCCCGATATACATGGTAAAAGGTACAACTTCCTTAAGTTTTGTCCATGAGTGTATATTGGTTATCTCGTGTGTCTTCAATAAAGGTCACTGTAATATCTTTCAGAGTTATTGTCTCAATCCCGATTATACATGCTAAAAGGTACAACTTCCTTAAGTTTTGTCCATGAGTGTATATTGGTTATCTCGTGTGTCTTCAATAAAGGTCACTGTAATATCTTTCAGAATTATTGTCTCAATCCCGATATACATGGTAAAAGGTACAACTTCCTTAAGTTTTGTCTATGAGTGTATATATTGGTTATCTCGTGTGTCTTCAATAAAGGTCACTGTAATATCTTTCAGAGTTATAATCCCGATATACATGCTAAAAGGTACAACTTCCTTAAGTTTTGTCCATGAGTGTATATTGGTTATCTCGTGTGTCTTCAATAAAGGTCACTGTAATATATTTCAGAGTTATTGTCTCAATCCCGATATACATGGTAAAAGGTACAACTTCCTTAAGTTTTGTCCATGAGTGTATATTGGTTATCTCGTGTGTCTTCAATAAAGGTCACTGTAATATCTTTCAGAGTTATTATCTCAATCCCGATATACATGCTGAAAGGTACAACTTCCTTAAGTTTTGTCCATGAGTGTATATTGGTTATCTCGTGTGTCGTCAATAAAGGTCACTGTAATATCTTTCAGAGTTATTGTCTCAATCCCGATATACAAGCTAAAAGGAACAACTTCCTTAAGTTTTGTCCATGAGTGTATATTGGTTATCTCGTGTGTCTTCAATAAAGGTCACTGTAATATATTTCAAAGTTATTGTCTCAATCCCGATATACATGGTAAAAGGTACAACTTCCTTAAGTTTTGTCCATGAGTGTATATTGGTTATCTCGTGTGTCTTCAATAAAGGTCACTGTAATATCTTTCAGAGTTATTATCTCAATCCCGATATACATGCTGAAAGGTACAACTTCCTTAAGTTTTGTCCATGAGTGTATATTGGTTATCTCGTGTGTCGTCAATAAAGGTCACTGTAATATCTTTCAGAATTATTGTCTCAATCCCGATATACAAGCTAAAAGGAACAACTTCCTTAAGTTTTGTCCATGAGTGTATATTGGTTATCTCGTGTGTCGTCAATAAAGGTCACTGTAATATCTTTCAGAATTATTGTCTCAATTCCGATATACAAGCTAAAAGGAACAACTTCCTTAAGTTTTGTCCATGAGTGTATATTGGTTATCTCGTGTGTCTTCAATAAAGGTCACTGTAATATCTTTCAGAGTTATTGTCTGAATCCCGATATACAAGCTAAAAGGTACAACTTCTTTAAGTTTTGTCCATGAGTGTATATTGGTTTTCTCGTGTGTCTTCAATAAAGGTCACTGTAATATCTTTCAGAGTTATTGTCTCAATCCCGATATATACATGCTAAAAGGTACAACTTCT